CTTCACCTTTGGGTCCAAGTCCACGCAGAAAGCATACTGGGACAAATCCTTCACATAAGTAAGCAGCTTCGGGTCCCGCAACAACGCCATGATGGTCACAAGGAAATGCCAAAGAGGCTGCAAAGTAGTGGTTTCCGAGATGCGTTTTGATCAAAAACTCACAAAATCAAAAATCATATTCAGCTGCACGTGGCAGCTCAGCGGCTCCAGGCCGCTCGGGAAAAGAAACGATACAAAACAAATCGTTGTGAAACGAATCAGCCGTGCCATGGGAAAAATCATTCGCTTCATGCCGCGGTTGTGCTGTTCTGAAAATGACTGAGATTTTGAAATTGCCAGGAAATGGTCCTTCCTAGAAACGTGACACAACCAAGCTCTCAGGAAACAGGGTAGCCTGCAAAACTTAGTAGACTAGGGTTTTGAAACTGCTCGAAGGTGATCCTTCCTAGAAACTTGGACCATGACCTGAGGAAGCAGGTTCTCAGTCATGCAAAACCAGCTCAAGAAGCAGCCAGCAAAACTATCACTGGGATTTTGAGATTGCTCGAAAGAAGTTCTAGATAGAAACACGACATGGCAGTTGAGCAAGCAGGTTCCCAGTCATGCGAAACCAGCTCAGAAGTAGAGGGCAAAACATAGCCAAACGTTAAACACCCAGATGTGAACTAAACACCCGATTGACAGGGACAAGCCTTCTCACCAAAACACCAGGTGATGATCCAGCCGCAAACGGCAGAGCTGAAATGGCGGTGAAGGACTTCAAGAACCAGATCCGCAGAACGTTGAGGCAGGCCAGTGAAGATGCGAAATGGTGGCCATGGGCTTTGAGGTACGTCAATGAGGTGTACCGATGTGTCCGGATGGAGACAAGACCAAGTTGGCCAAGGTTTTTGGAAGAAGTAAGAGTCCGAAAGCGGACATGGAGGCGGGATGACCTGGACCCCAGAGTGGAGAAGGTTCAGTATCTATGCCCTTCAGTGGAAAACCATGGTCATTGGGTGATCAAAGAAGGCGAAGCCCCACGCCTTACGCGCTACATTTTGGCGCCCACCACTGAGCCGGAGGATGAGACGGTTTGGATTGCGGTGGAAAGAGAAGGGCGAGATGCACAAGAACAGCGACGCAGTGGAAAACCATGGTCATTGGGTGATCAAAGAAGGCGAAGCCCCACGCCTTACGCGCTACATTTTGGCGCCCACCACTGAGCCGGAGGATGAGACGGTTTGGATTGCGGTGGAAAGAGAAGGGCGAGATGCACAAGAACAGCGACGCCGAATCAGAGGCAGATCAGCAGTGAGGAGAATGGATGCCTCAGTTGCAGATCCTGAGGAGGTGCTGGAAGAAAAGGAAAAGGCTGAAGTTCAAAGATTGATGAAGGTGGTGGAGGATGAGATGCAGTCCATCATCAACGACGACCCAGATCTGGCCGCCGAGGAAGTCAGAATTTTGGGAAGGCTGAGAAAAATGGCTGAAGTGAAGGAGGATGGAGATGAGATCCTTCAAACAAAGGTCATCTCACCAAAGGAGGTGGTCAGAAACTGGTCGGAGTGGATCCCATCAGTGAGAAGCGAGGTGGAGTCCCTGACCATTGAGAAGGCAGCCTTGAAGGAGCTGTCAAAGGATGAAGTCAAAGCGTTGAAGAAGAAGGCAGAAAAGGAGGGTAAGAAGTTGGAAATCATACCTTCCAAACTGGTGTTCACTGTGAAACCTTCCCCAGACCACAAAGAAGGGAAAAAGAAAACCCGGTGGGTTGTTTGCGGAAACTATGAGGAGAAGAAAGAGGGGGAGGAAAACTACTCAGGTGGTGCAGATGCCACATCTTTGAGGTTGTTGGCATGGATTGCATCCCGCATGAAGTGGGCCGGATGCATCCTGGATGTCAGAACTGCTTTCCTCAACGCGCAGATGGAACAGGAGCCGGATGAGGACCTTCTTTTGGTCCAGCCACCCCACATCTTGAAGGAGATGAAGTTTCTGGACCCGGACACACTGTACCTGCCATTGAAGGCAGTGTACGGCTTCAGGCGCTCACCAAAGCTTTGGGGTCTTCATCGAGACAAAACGATCAAGACCTTTGACATCAAGGTGGTCATTGATGGCCGCTGCGAAAGCCTGGAGCTGAAGCCGATGGAGTCAGAGCAGAACCTATGGAAGGTGGTTGTGGTCAGAGGAGGCTTCCAAGAGGCAGAAGAAGAATGGATCTCAAACGGCCGAGTCATTGGCCTTGTGATGACGTATGTCGACGACATTTTTATCGTCGCCGAGAAGCAGGTGGCGAAGTCAGTTGCTCAGAAGTTTCAAGAGACCTGGGCGACCACACAACCGGAGTGGGTTGGCGAGACACCAGTGAGGTTTTTGGGCCTGGAGGTGACTTGCCACCAAATCGAGGGGGAGGAGAAGGTCCAATGGTGCCTTTCACAAGAGGCATACATCAAAGACTTGCTTGGGCGCTATGAGGAGGAGGGAAAACCACGAAAGCTCCCTATCACCCGTGACCAAGCTTCGATGCCTCCAGATGTGATTCCCCCTTCGCCAGAAGGAGTCAAGTTTTCCCAGAAGGTCATCGGTGAGTTGCTTTGGCTGGTGACCCGAAGCAGACCAGATTTGATGTTTGGAGTTTCCAGGATGGGGGCCAACGTTTTGAAGGCCGCCAACTGCATCAAGGACACAGCAGCACAAATGAGGTCCTATCTCAGGAGAACTGCAGGTGAGGGCCTACAGTACAAGCAGAAGATCGATGACCCGATCACGCTGTATGTCTACTCAGACTCCAGCTTTGCACCCGAAGCAGATGAGTCCCATGGATCGTTTGTGGTTATGGTGAACGATGGGTTGATGTTCTGGAGAAGCGGCAGGCAGGGCACAATCACCTTGAGCACGGCCGAGTCAGAGTTGATGGAGCTCGTTGAGGCGATGATTGCCGGCGAGTCAGTTTACGTCGTGCTGGCAGAGCTGTTTGGTGAAATCTCAAAGGTGGCATTGTGCGATTCGCAAGCTGCACTGGCCATTTTGGTTGCTGAGGGCGGAAGCTGGAGGACAAGACACCTCAGGCTGAGGTGGGCGTTTGCTCGCCAATCTGTGCTGCGTGGTGACTGGCAGGTGGGTCATGTCCCTGGTGAGAAGATGTTGGCGGACCTGGGCACAAAAGTTCTGACCTCATCGAGGATGGAAACTTTGAAGCAGATGATGGGCATGGGAGTTGCTCAGCCCGAAGAAAAAGGTGTTGAAATGGAGAAGGATGAGAAAAAAGAAAAGGAGATCAAGACCGACTCAAAATCGGTCGCCACCATGGCCGTCAAGCTCATCACGATGGCGGCCTTGTTGTCAATGTCAAAGGCTCAAGGAGATGAAGAAGACGATGAACCAGCAGGTGACTTCCACAACTTTATGGTCATCTACACGGTGCTGATCATTCTGACCACGCTGATGGTCCAAATCCTGTGGAAGGTAGGAGTAGGCGCATTGGGCGAAAACTGGAAAAGAATGTTTTTTACCCGTGGCCGAAGTTTCCCCATGGGTGAGGAAACGTCAGTGGCAGAGGGTCGAGCATGTGCTGAGGTGTGCGGACCCGTGGAAAGACCACGGCATCTGCCCTCGGCTGCTGGGTCGTCAAACCAGCCAAGCCCCGCTGAGGACGGGTTGGGGATGGAGGAGGGATCCCCAGTCCAGCTCGCGGTGGCTGAGCAGCGACGCGCCGGTGAGGGCGGGTTGGGGCAGAGGGCCTCAGTCCAGCTCCCAGCTTCGGCTGGTGAGGGCGGGTTGGAGGGTCATGCTGATCCTCCAGTCCAGCTCCCGGCTGCGCCTGCAAAAGCTCCCCCGCCAAAGGAGGGACCAAAGGCCCCGTCAAAAGCGGGCCAAACACCAAAGGCCCCACCAAAAGCGCCACCAAAAGCGGGCCCAAAACCAAAGGCCGCACCACAAAGTGGCCCATCAGCTTCCAGCTCCTCAAGTGGAAGCACATCAAGCAGTATGACAGGCCGAATTGAGACGGCGATTCAAGACATTGCGTATGAAGAGGCAACCCTGTGGGACCATTTTGGGAGGCAGGGCGACTTTCCAGGAGTACCAGAAGATCATAGCAGAGCAGAACTTGGATTTCAGGTGTTAAGGACACCATGTGGAACAGTGTATCACGATACACGTGGATGCACCCAGCTTCAAGGACCGCGAACTGGCTATGCGAGACCGTTTACATGGTGTGCCTTGTGCCGAGAGGTTGCGATGCGCACCCGTGGAAGACCAATCCCTGGAAGTCCGCTGCTTTTGCGAATGGGCGATCAGACCGTCCATACTGATCGAAGATGCCCGAGAGCACGAGATGCTACGGAGCTGAGAGGATGCATGTACTGTACAGAGTACAATGGGTAGGGCAGGTTGAGCTGTAAAGAAAGAAATGGATGCAATCTAACGACGCATCCAAGGGGGAGTGCAGAAAGGCATACCCTGTTTTTCATACTTTGGTAGATTTGTACATTTAATTCAGACATGTTGCACCAATTGACATGTCACTGAACCCTTTTACCAACTGCAGTCGACGTAGCTGCCCTTTTGAAGCTCAAACACCCGAGCTGCTGCCGGTGAAAACAGAGAAGGCGGCCGCTTGCTACGTGGACGAGGTGCGGAGGACTGAAGGTTGGGGACCTGGCCATTTCCAATTCCAATCCCCGATATATGAAGGGTAGTATAATCCCCGAACTAATCATCAACCAACAGGGGTTTGGCAGCCACTGCTCAATTGCTGCTGGATGGCGTGTTTGATTCCTTCAAGTTCAAGGATGGACTAGAGTCACTAGAGTCACTAGAGCACGCGCCTGAAGGATCAGTATCACTTTTCCTGCTGTACCGCCAAGGCTTAAGGCTTCGGAGAGATAAAGGCCCCGAACCTCGGTCCCTGGCGCCAAAAACGCGTCTCTTGTGGAGGCTGAGGCTGACCATGCTTTTTTGTCTTAAAAATTTAAGGACATCGCCATCAGCCCTGAGGTGAAAATGCTATGAGTTCTTCATTGGAACTTGGTGAGTGCAGCTGCCTTTTGATCATGGAGGAACTTCACGGTCTGATCTATCTGCAGATCTGGCTTTGCATAACCCAAGTCCGACAGACTGCCATCACTTTCCCTATGACACTTGTCATTTTCTGGGTGCATCTCCCATTTATGGAGCAACTGATCCAGGAAGCTTCCAGATGGAGCCAGAGTACGGGAGGCGAGATCAATGGCGGAGTGGTAGGAGTTGGCCTCATAGCCCTGAAGAGGGGTAGCATCAACCACCAAGTTCCTCCCTGAAATGGTCATCTCTTCGTCCAGGACTTCGCCATGAAACAAGGCATAGAACCTTGGATTTACCCTCTGGTAAACTAACATAACTATGGAAAATCACCATTCTTAATGGGAAAATCAATTATAAATTGCCATTTTCAATAGCTATGTTAAATTACCAGAGGGTAGATCAACCGATTCCCCATTTCTGATGGATTCACAAGAAAACATCGAAACAACCGTCTTAACAGCAAGTCTAAGGAACTGCGTGGCGTACTCTGGCTGGGTGAAATTGATGACAGCATAGCCTATGTTGCTCCCATGCTCCGGGCTGTATGGGATATAGAGAAGGTCGAAATGGCCCGTGAAACCGCGATTCACCATCTCAAACAGCAACATCTCCTTGGTGTTCTATGTAAGTTGTTCTCCCTGCAGAAACAACGGAAAGAAACATACCCTCTGGGAATTTAACCTAGCTATGGGAAATCATGGGAAATCCCCATGTTAAATAGGTAAATCGTCATAAATCATAAATCTATAAATGGGCCATGTTCCATAGCTATATATGTTAAATAATTAACCAGAGGGTACAGTGCCTTTGCATAGGATGTTTTCTCCTATCAGTATGTTCCATGTGTCATTGAAGTAATTGTTTGTCAATCCAATCTTCGCTTGGTTGATTTGATTGAAAATCTACAGGGAACCAATGTTTTAATGTGTTTTACGATGTATACCATCAAATTTAGTAGTTCCCCTAAGCATCCCTAAACCAATTCTAGGAAATGGATGGAAATGGCATGTTTTCTCAGACGAGGTCTACCTAATTACATCTAATTACCCTAAAATTCGATTTTTGCTCATCGTTTTCCACATTTGCCATACATCGGGGGCCAATCCATCCCGTCTCCTCGTTGTAGTATGAAGGCAGTCCTTTGACTGTCAACGTTACCACTGGCACCTCATCCCCTTGGCGCATCTGATCCTGTAAGGCCGCCAATGCTTGGGTATACTTGACATATTGTGACATGGACTGTTCCTGCAAGGCTCTCAGGTGCTGGAGCTGATGGAGTCTGCCCGCCACTTCCGCCACTTCCGCCACTTCACACATCTCAGCTGCTTGTTGATGATCCTTCTGTTCCTTTGGTTCATTTCTGCTCCGCCTCTGAGATGTGGAAAACGGCCCATCTGAGGATGCAGTGGCTTCCAAGTCCAACCGCGGACCAAACGCATCGCTGTTCAGCCACGCCATGGCTGAGGATGCAGGGACATGACGAGGTCCTTTCTGGCCAAGGTTGGCTTGTGGCAACTGCTCAGCTGCTGGTGCTACTGGCAACTGCTCCTTGGCAAGAGCCTTTGGCAACTGCTCAGCGGCTGGGGCGTGAAACATCTGTGCGGCGGGTGCGCTCCTTTTGTTGAGCCACTCTACCTGCGGAGTCTGCGGAGTCAGCTTGGGGACGGCCACAATAGGACATGCAAAACTGCAAAGCATGGCATGAGGTGTGTCTGGCCATGGCCGTTTGGCCTGATTTCTGGGCAATTTTCACGTATGTTTAGAGACATCAGCTACCCCATCAATACTCGTGGGTAGTGGGGATATCTTCAAAACATTTCACAAACAGAATTTGTTTAAAAAACAGTTAATGTGGGAAACACAATATAGTAATGAACCTACCGTTTGGGAATGATTTATACCACCATATGGTGATGTTTAGGGGGTGGGAAAAAAATGAGTCTGCCACAGATACTGATGACCAACCCTGGACACAGAGCTAAGGAAAGCGGGTTCATCCCAACCCCACATAGTTCATCATTGGTTCCTACCTACATGCTGCAGTACCTATTGATTCTATTGATCTTTAGTAAAGTGTATGCATCATGACCCACAGTGTACCACTGAACTAACTTGCCCGTAGCCAATGTTTGGATACCCTGCATGTTTTTTTGGCTGTTTAGACATCTTTAAGTCTTTGTCTACCCTCATTGATGGCAAAAGATCATGTATCCATCTAAGGTCGGTCCACTCATCAAGCCCATTTATATCCAGTGTATTGCTTGAATCAAGCCTCCATGAAAGCAAGTCACTTCACCCCATGATTCAATCCCACTTTTGTTTGCATCCCAAGCTCCTTCATGGTCCAGCTCATGTATATCCCATCTACGATTAGATCCAGTTGGTTACAACCATATTTATGTTATGATTACCCTCTGGTAAACTAACATAGCTATTGAAAATGACCATAGAAATAGTGGATTTACCCACTAAAAAGGGTGATTTTCCATAGTTATGTTATTACCAGAGGGTAATTTCATCGCTTTCCCATCTATTTGTTGGCTTTCTTTCCTCCATGTGTATTGCTTCCACCTGTAATCCCATCCCCAGATTAATTATTAAACACTCCCATTCCATGTTTCCAAACATATGATTTTATCCCTTTAAACCATGGTTTCTTCTGGAGATGTTTCAGATTATATAGCGGAAAGAGATGAAGTTGGGTTATCACCCCATTAGCTATACGTAGTGTGCTATAGTTATATCTGCCATAAACAATGGTTTTCTTGGTTCCACCCCTCGGTCCCAAAGATTAATTGTAGTTGGCTGCTATAGTTCTAAACCATTACCCTCTGGTAAAAATACAAAAAACTACGGAAAATCACAATTTTCAATGAGTATATATATCCACCATTTCTATGGCCATGTTCAATAGCTATCTTAGTTTACGAGAGGGTATATCATATCAGCTAGATCCCTCATACCTCATCAAACCCCCATTTAGGTTTGTCTGAAAAAGGACCCCAAAATCAACTGTTCTTAAGCAGCATCTTCCCATTAAAATTGCAAAAACTCAAGGGGGAACCCATTTTCTGGTTTTTCTGTCCACGTTTCATGGCCTCGCCCGAAATTGGACTCCTCCTCCAGTAGGGCGCGGCGGTCCACTTTCCCGGAGGCCGACAAGGGCAGTGCAGCCACCACGCGCACCTGAGGCACCATGTAGGCCTCGGCACCAAGTGACCTATGGGAGAATGGGTTGATACTGGCGTCATGATGGGAAAATGATGGGAATATAACGAGAAGAATCCTGACCATGGGAAAAAATTGGAAAAAGTGTGGTTTTATGGGGGTATTATAGGGATAGAATAGGGAGAATTTGGGATATCATGGGGATATAATGGGAATTTATCTTAAATGTGACAAGCAATGGGATAACAACGGGACGGGATAACAATGGAATAGTAGGGGATTAATGATGAGAAAAATGCTGGGAATATATGCATACATTATAGTAATAGTAGGGATGATTGGGGCATAATGGGGATGTAATAGGGATATAATAGGGATATGAATGGGAAGAAATGGTGGTATCACTTGGATTTGCCGAAGAAAGCAAGCAGTGGAGTTCCCATTGTTTAAACATCTTCAGCATTTCATTTCATTTCATTTCATGTCTTGCGCCCTGCGTGCCCGTAATGGCACCTCGGCGCAAAGTTCTTTGCAATTTACAGATCTAGTTTGGTGAAAAAGGTGTGTGAAAATAAGCAGAAAGCCAGAATCAAAAGGGCAACGGGACAAGGATGGCAAACATCAAGATCTTCAGCTCAAAATCTCCACATCATCATCGGAATCGTCGGAAATAACAATAGCAGGAAGTGCTGGCATATTTCTCTGCTGTCTCCTCAAGCGCTTACGGAAATACTTCTCAGCAGCTTTGGTCACTGACTTCAGCAATATGTTTTTCATACATTCCTTCCATATGTTCGGTATGCGGTCTTGCGTGCCCAACTCACTGCGGATGCTTTGTTGCACTGCCAAGGTGTTCTTCGCAACTAGTTTCCATGCCAGATTTTGCTGATTTGTTGACAAGTTGTTCAGAGAATTCAACATATTGAAAAGAGAGTTGTGCTGAATATGACGTAGTGAATCACCAGGGAAAAGAGATAGGATTTTTGCAAAAGAAAGTTGTCTCTGTTCTGCAGCTCTTACACAGGAAGACAGAGCATGTTGTTCATCCCCAAGGACCCTAAGCCCCAAAGACCGTGTGCATGCTTGACAAAACCGTTGTTCTCGTTGTTGCCGGATATACCTGCCAGTCTCTACTTCCAACAAGTGAGAGGACAACAAGAAATTGTTCAGCGAGCGGCCGCAAAGCATACCCAATGATAGCGCATTAGGTCGAGGGGATTCAAAAGTAGGAATTGCGTGTACAAGAAAACTGTACTTGCCGGAACGAAGAGTCCTCAACATATCTTGCTCAGCAATGTTGTTACAGCGTTCACGAAAAATTGGAAACCAATGCCTTGCTTGAGGCGCGGTCCAATTCAAAACATTGTCACGTCCTCCATTCTGATCTAACAAGTCAATTCGTTTGAAAAAGGAAACCATATCAAAAGCCCATCCGTTGTCATGCAATCTGCAACATTGCTTCCACTGTTCCCAAGCTGCTTTTTCCATAACATCTCCATGTTCCAGAATAGAAATCAAAAACTTGAAGGCTTGAACTGCGGCAAGGACCCACATGGGATACAGCCCCACAAGCCATAACATGGCCTCAAGCTTTGTTCGGGTGTGTGCCCTAGTGAGAATACGCAATGACTTGGCGTCACTTTTGTCAAGTCTGTATGCCCGACGCCATCCCCAAATGTCAGCACCAAGCAAAGCAAGAGACCGAACTTTTGTAGAGTACAGCGTGGTTCTCATCTCATTGGTCATCATCGGATGTTCGAGGAAAAGTTGTATAAGAATGTATAAGAGAGCCCCCAGCTACCTCCACCCGCTCAGCATTAACTTCCCATTGCTTTTGGTATCCATCGGCTTCTACATGGAAACCAAGGTATTTGGCCCAATTCCGGCCGGTTTCAAAAATATTCCCACGGTTGCCGTGGAGGACCCACTTGTTGTTTTCCTGAGGTCGTTGGGAGCGAAAAACTGTTAGTTCAGTTTTAGGGTATGAAATACGCAACCCGTCTTCTTCTGAAGTCCTCTCAATGATGTCAAACTGTTCCTGCAAACCCAGGTTTCCAGTATTGGCAGTCAACAAATCGTCCGCAGTCAGCAAGTCCATGATAATGGGGATATCATAGGAATATAATAGGGACATGAATGGAATGAATGGGAGAATGGTGATATGAATGGAATATTGGTTAATGACTTAATGACATTTCATCACCCTCCTGATTCGTGGGTATGGCATGGCTATGGGGTCTTAATTTCTATAAGTTGGGGCACAACCATAACTTAATCTCGGGATGTTTGATGATGCTTGTATGACTAATATTGAGCAAATGTGATCACTAATTTGTTCGGGGGATGCTGAACTGTACTGTATGCTGGAGCCCATATAATCACAGTCTAGTGTTCATCATTGCTATCAAGGGAGAACTTAACACTTGATATATAGCAAACATCAGAAGAATGGGTGAAAAGAGTAACCCTCAGTATGCACCGCCAGTATCGCGATTTAGGGATATTTAGGGTACCCGTTCATTCATCATTTGGGTGGACTTAGGGTCCGTGAGTTGTTGGGACACACGCCCCCACATCCAGTTTGGCTGATAGGTCTTTTCTGACGGTCAGGGCTCCCTTAGACCATGAGCCACAAGCCAAGTGTCAACCTAGCAGGGCGTACCCAGCAAGCCAAAGAACGAAGTGCTCTTTCCACCAAAATGTAGGCACCACAACCAGTGTAACATGGGCAATTTGGATGCCCACCAAAAAAATCAGAGACTTTTTGATGGTTGGGTTGATATTTACCCCATCAAAATGGCTTGCAACAGAGAGAAGGGTGTGAAGCTGGCTACGTGCAGTAGCCTTTACCAAGGCTGACGGAAAAAAAATGTTGTCCCTGCATACACGTTGGTTCATAGGCATTCCCAATTCATGCATGATGATCACCCCCCATATAATGTGTATATATATATATATCAATTAGTATAACAGTATAACATTTAGCAGCTAGATGTACTTCTATCCCCATGATTAAAACATACTAAAACCCCTACAGTATGACATGACGAACTCAACCAACAGGGCGCAGTGGCTTACGCAGCCCGAAACTCGGCCCCGCAGCCACTCGGACCCCGGGCCGGCAGAGCGGCAGACAAGTGCGATCGCAGCTCCGAAGGCAGCTTTGCTTCCGTGCACCTGCTGCAGAAATCGTTTTTTCGGCCCAGGCAACTGCCGACTGTTTAATCATTGGGGAAGTACCATTGATACGGGGAAATATTACATGTGTTGGGAACCCCCAATATGAATGCATTTAGTAAATTTGATGTTTATTAACCCGCTATATAAATGGTACATTCTATGGGAAGATAGTTGGGAAATTCAACCAAGCATTAAAAGCTCTCTGTACCAGGTTCTAAAAATTGAAGAGAAAACCCTAAATCCACCGTCTAGGGGTATCCACTTGTTATTTCTTTTCCCCATTAAAAAATCTTCATTAACTGAGGTAAATCCACCATTTTCAGCCACCTCCTTATGGATAGGAGGCCTATTCACCGCCATCAACCAGCAGTATAGGGGAAAATTTGGAGCAGTGACATTTTTCGGGACGCCGGGCCCTTCGTGGATAACCTCCGATCGGGCCCGCTCTGATTGACGGGCTTCAACTCCACTGCTACAGGACAAGAAGAACAGGATCCCCATCAACATCCATCAGCGCATCATCAAATGTTCAAATTCACCATAAATCACTATGAATATGTATATATATATATATCACCAAAAGTCACCACATGTATATATATATATATATATATATTCACTAAGAATGTTTGACATATTTTGATGTAAAGATAATTAAAGATATATTATATCACCATTAAACATCCATCAGCCCATCAGTTCCCGGCTTCCAGGCTCCGATCGGCTCAACAAACGCCAGCAGCGTCGGACCGTGGCTTCCGATCGATCGCCTCGGATGAGCTGGCAGGTGGAGATGACCATGGGTTAAAAAAAAAAACTATGGGGATTATAAAAAATCAATGTAATCCCCAGAAATATGGGTATATATCCACTTGGGGATGGCTCAAAACCTTGTACCCCTGATGAACATCAAAATAGCTGGTAAATGGATGTTCATCCCACTAAAAATGCTATTTATAGGTATTGATCCATGGCCACTTAGTTCACTGGAACTGCAGCAAAAAAAAAAAAAAAACTATCATTCTTGGTGGCAATAAGACCAACGAGATTGGGAATTTTTGGGTAGACATGCTCTAGGTATGTTTATGTTGGAGCTGTAGTGTGGTATGTAACCTGTGTAACGTCTAATTGCCAATCATTGGATGTGGGATCTCAGAAACGGAGATTGTGAGCCAGCTATCCAACTATTGCAAGAGTTCCGGAGTTGACCTGGAAGCCAAGTTATACAACATCTAGAAATGCCAACTATCGTCCGGACCTTTCAACAAAGCGGCACAATTCTTGGCACTGGTGAACTCTGGAGGGTCGCCAAAACTGACGGCTCAGTTGAAATCATAGGTCCGGGTCCCAAAAAAAGGCCATGAATCCAATGTGCTGGTTGGTGGTTGACCTACCCCTCTGAAAAATATGAGTTCGTCAATGGGAAGGATGACAACCCATATATGAAATGGAAATTTCAAATGTTCCAAACCACCAACCAGATGTGTCATTCCGCATCTTTGCCTCCTCAGCATCGAAATACCTCGACTGACATTCAGCTGGCTGCACTTTTTTGCTGCAAGCTGTTCAAAGCATGGAAGGATTCATCATTTCTGAGCATAAATACATAAATACCCCACAAACAAGAGATAACAAGAGTGAGATTCTTTGAGATGTGATATTCCTCGATTCATTGCAAAAAATGATGCAACATCTAGGGTAGATGTAGGGTAGACTGGGAGATTGCCCGGACAGAAGACGCTGTGGTGGCAAGCACATGTTGAAATCTGTACATCGTTGTCCTTTGATGCTAATATTCTAGTTTTGTGCAAGATGTTTATCAAATTCTTCATCAACTCAACTTCCATGTTTTTTCACAATTATATGTTGAAAACAACCCTTACAAGGGATGGGGTGTTTTTTCGTTCTCAACTGCGTCCGTTTTCAGAGAGCCGAGTTGTATCTACATATGCCTTGCTGGGATGATTTGTTTCTTTGACAAAGGGTCGTTAGCGTAGCATCATTTCTGTGTGCAAGTGAAACAGAACGTTATTGCACCCCCACCCCAACCCGGACAAACAAAATGAAGTTTGGGCAAACCCCCCCGTCTACCCAACATGTAGGAACCCCCAAGCAAATCAAAAAGGGTTACATTTACATTTTTGTAGTAGATGATCTCTACTAATTATATTACCCTCTGGTTATTTAACATAGCCATGGAAAATGAACCATTTATAGATGGTTTTCCCATTAAAACCTCCATTTATTAGGGATTGGTTTACCTGGGTTTTCCCATTAAAAATGGTGATTTTCCATGGCTATGTTAGTCATAACCAGAGGGTAAATGTTCATGACAATTTCCAGGTTTCCCAATTTTCGATGCTATGAGCGATGCTATATGATGTGGTTGCCGTCGAACAACGAGGTGCCTCAACCCTTGATTTCTTCCAATGTGAATCTAGCTCAATCCTCGGAAGTTACCCCGTTAAAAAAAAAAAAAAAAAACATATCCACTACATCAGAGTTTGGATCTTTGATCCATTTGAATGAATGGGTAGGTTGGGGGGGAGGTCTCTTCAACCGCGAAGGTGAACCCAGATGTTTCTTGCCGCTGAAAGCCATCATATGTCACGCTCAATGTTAGTAAAGCAATAGGATCCACCATCCCCAATTTTAACATGCTTATGGGTGGTATAAACCATCAAAATTTGGGTGGGTTATTGTTACTTTACTAACATTATAGCCGAGGTAAGCTGAAGTTGCTCTATTCATATGCAGCATGATGGTCCAAGTTTGGGCAGCTTGGCGCAGCCAACATCCTGCCCGGCCCACGCTGAAGCTGTACACAGCCGGTTTCACCGGGCAAATCTCAGAAGATTGGTGTGGATCAATGGATTGGTTTCGGGAAACTCTCCTTTATCCTAGCCACTAGTCTTATCAATGGGAATTTCAGGATCCTAAAATGGAGGTACTGTACAAATGGGATCCTGAAATTCCCATTGATCTTACAAATGATTGGGATTTGCTGCTGTTCCCTTCAACCAATTCTGGGAGAGACTCCGAGAGACTCCGAGACCACCCAACGCAAACGCAAGCGCGTTTTTGGAGCCACCTCAAGCACCAAACATACATCATCATACATCATATCACTTGGTCAAGTGGGATATCATGGATATCAACCTTTTTGAATATTCCACCAACACTTTCAGCATGTGAAACCAGCCACCCCTCGGTGCGGAAGGCGAACTGCGACTCTGCCCTCAGGAAGTCCCCAGTGCGAATTGAAGCGATGATGAGGCAGCACCTGAGTAAATCACATAAATGATCAGGCGAATACTGCTGGATTTGACATTGAATTAGTAAGACCAAAGTCAAGACCCTCCATTGTTGGTCAAAAACCGTTTGCTCTTAAAGTGTAACTAAAAGCCATCATCAGACATTAAACTGCAAAGCACAACATCTATTTGGCGAAAGACCATACCATCAAGTTCATTGAAAAGAATTTTGATGAAAATAGCCCCCCTCTTTCAGCCGTTCCAAACGGATAGTCTCCATCTCTGGGACCTTCTTAACTCATATGTACAACCAGCACATCATCCTCCAAAAAACAAGGCACCCTCAGGCCAGTGGAAACTCAGTCAAAACATCCAAAATAAATCAAAATTCAGGCCCCAAGTGAGTTGGTAAGAATGGTGCCACCCGATCTGTTGGAAGATGATTGAGATTTGCCCAGGGAAGACCTCCAAGGCCCCCGCCCGATGTGTTTAACAGTCGCCAGGCTTAGCTTAGTTAAGAGATGGTGAACTTCGTTGGTTTTAAGGGCGCCAGAATGATCCAATTGGACAGACCCGGTGATCCGGTGAAATTGCCAATTGGTTCGGTGATTTACCCTTTGTGTTTCAATGGCGCACTTCCATAGCAACCTGTTAAGTCACCAGAGGGCATACTGCATCCCATCTTCTAGCATACTATCGCATGATTATGTATGTCTGTTTTTATCGTCATGCATATCACCATTTCTCAACATGTTTTATAGTTCTGCTTGTCCTAGTTAAAGTCCAATCCTTCATGGTAGCCCTCCTCTAAAATTTGGGCGTTATCATTATGCATAGGTTGATAGTTCTTACCCCATTATATCGAATGTTAAACATGGAAAATATAAATGTGGGAAAACCCATCGTTTTTCCCACGTGATATCCATCTTTATCTGCCATTATTTCATTTTTTTTCTGGCGTTCAACTGAACCGGACCGGTAACCCAGTTAGGATTCGTGAGGGATGACCCTCCAAGCAAACCCAACTTCTTGAATCTCATTTTTTAAAAATGTGCATAGAAATATGCACGTATATATATATATATATATATCTGTGTGTGTGTGCGTGTGTAAAAATCTTCATGGCAATTTTCATACTTGGGTTGTCAAAAAAAATGTCAAGTCACATTGCGCTTCGGAAAAAAAAAAAGAAAACCTATTGTTACTAATATTACTTCATTAAACAGGAAATAGATGGAAATAGTGATGTTTGGGCATAGGCTACCCCTACCAACCATCATTCCAGTGACTATCCCCGATTCCAGTGACTATAATTTAGGCACCTGAAATGGCCATTGAACAACATTGTAATCCCCTATTGGTTAGGGCAACCCGCCAGCTTACAGTAGTATATTATAGCTACCAAAAAATGGTATGTTCCAAGGAACTCATTATGATAAACCATAGGATTTGGTACATAACCACCAACAAAATATAGGCACTAAACTACCATAGGGTTTGGTACATAACCACCATAGGATTTGATAGGATTTGGCACATAAACCATCACATTATCATGATCCGCAAACGAATCATCATCAACCACCCCGGCTGCAATCGTGGCACCTCGCCTTAGGCCCCCCTCTTCTCCAACGCCGCCAGGCGCGCAGCACGCAGCGCGGCCGGGTCGCTGGCGGCGGGCGCACCGCTGCCACCCAGGGCCTTGGCTGGATAGCAATGTAATATATGCAAATGCACATGTGT